TCTGATGTTGTGTGTTCTCAGTGCTGATGTTGTTGTGTTGTGTGTTCTCAGTGCTGATGTTTTGTGTTTTGTCTGTTCTCAGTGCTCATGTTGTGTGTTCTCAGTGCTCATGTTGTGTGTTCTCAGTGCTGATGTTGTGTGTTCTCAGTGCTGATGTTGTGTGTTCTCAGTGCTGATGTTGTGTGTTGTGTGTTCTCAGTGCTGATGTTGTGTTGTGTGTGTAGGAGAGAGCGAGCGCTGTCTGGGTTCTGCCGGAGAGGATGAGGGCAGTGTTTGGGGAATGGAGGTTCAGGACGGCAGAGATGCTCAGGATAAAGTAAGCGAGGGAACGGATCCCGGGAGTCCGGCTCCGGAGAACTGGATCCACACGGAGAACACTCCCCGAAACATCCCGGCCACACACTCCGAACGCTGCAACCACGCCATGTTCAGTACGTCCACACACTCCGAACGCTGCAACCACGGCATGTTCAGTACGTCCACACACTCCGAACGCTGCGACCTCGGCATGTTCAGTACGTCCACACACTCCGAACGCTGCGACCTCGGCATGTTCAGTACGTCCACACACTCCGAACGCTGCGACCTCGGCATGTTCAGTACGTCCACACACTCCGAACGCTGCGACCTCGGCATGTTCAGTACGTCCACACACTCCGAACGCTGCGACCTCGGCATGTTCAGTACGTCCACACACTCCGAACGCTGCGACCTCGGCATGTTCAGTACGTCCACACACTCCGAACGCTGCGACCTCGGCATGTTCAGTACGTCCACACACTCCGAACGCTGCGACCACGGCATGTTCAGTACGTCCACACACTCCGAACGCTGCGACCTCGGCATGTTCAGTACGTCCACACACTCCGAACGCTGCGACCACGGCATGTTCAGTACGTCCACACACTCCGAACGCTGCGACCTCGGCATGTTCAGTACGTCCACACACTCCGAACGCTGCGACCTCGGCATGTTCAGTACGTCCACACACTCCAAAAGCTGCAACCACGCCATGTTCAGTACGTCCACACACTCCGAACGCTGCAACCACGGCATGTTCAGTACGTCCACACACTCCGAACGCTGCGACCTCGGCATGTTCAGTACGTCCACACACTCCGAACGCTGCGACCTCGGCATGTTCAGTACGTCCACACACTCCGAGCGCTGCGACCACGGCATGTTCAGTACGTCCACACACTCCGAGCGCTGCGACCTCGGCATGTTCAGTACGTCCACACACTCCGAACGCTGCGACCACGGCATGTTCAGTACGTCCACACACTCCGAACGCTGCGACCTCGGCATGTTCAGTACGTCCACACACTCCGAACACTGCGACATCGGCATGTTCAGTACGTCCACACACTCCGAACGCTGCAACCACGGCATGTTCAGTACGTCCACACACTCCGAACGCTGCGACCTCGGCATGTTCAGTACGTCCACACACTCCGAACGCTGCGACCTCGGCATGTTCAGTACGTCCACACACTCCGAACGCTGCGACCTCGGCATGTTCAGTACGTCCACACACTCCGAACGCTGCGACCTCGGCATGTTCAGTACGTCCACACACTCCGAACGCTGCGACCTCGGCATGTTCAGTACGTCCACACACTCCGAACGCTGCGACCTCGGCATGTTCAGTACGTCCACACACTCCGAACGCTGCGACCTCGGCATGTTCAGTACGTCCACACACTCCGAACGCTGCGACCACGGCATGTTCAGTACGTCCACACACTCCGAACGCTGCAACCACGGCATGTTCAGTACGTCCACACACTCCGAACGCTGCGACCACGGCATGTTCAGTACGTCCACACACTCCGAACGCTGCGACCTCGGCATGTTCAGTACGTCCACACACTCCGAACGCTGCGACCACGGCATGTTCAGTACGTCCACACACTCCGAACGCTGCGACCTCGCCATGTTCAGTACGTCCACACACTCCGAACGCTGCGACCTCGGCATGTTCAGTACGTCCACACACTCCGAGCGCTGCGACCACGGCATGTTCAGTACGTCCACACACTCCGAACGCTGCGACCACGGCATGTTCAGTACGTCCACACACTCCGAACGCTGCAACCACGGCATGTTCAGTACGTCCACACACTCCGAACGCTGCGACCTCGGCATGTTCAGTACGTCCACACACTCCGAATGCTGCGACCTCGGCATGTTCAGTACGTCCACACACTCCGAACGAACGCTGCGACCTCGGCATGTTCAGTACGTCCACACACTCCGAACGCTGCGACCACGGCATGTTCAGTACGTCCACACACTCCGAACGCTGCGACCACGGCATGTTCAGTACGTCCACACACTCCGAACGCTGCGACCTCGGCATGTTCAGTACGTCCACACACTCCGAACGCTGCAACCTCGGCATGTTCAGTACGTCCACACACTCCGAACGCTGCGACCACGGCATGTTCAGTACGTCCACACACTCCGAACGCTGCGACCACGGCATGTTCAGTACGTCCACACACTCCGAACGCTGCGACCTCGGCATGTTCAGTACGTCCACACACTCCGAACGCTGCAACCTCGGCATGTTCAGTACGTCCACACACTCCGAACGCTGCAATCACGGCATGTTCAGTACGTCCACACACTCCGAACGCTGCGACCTCGGCATGTTCAGTACGTCCACACACTCCGAACGCTGCGACCACGGCATGTTCAGTACGTCCACACACTCCGAACGCTGCAACCTCGGCATGTTCAGTACGTCCACACACTCCGAACGCTGCAACCTCGGCATGTTCAGTACGTCCACACACTCCGAACCCTGCGACCTCGGCATGTTCAGTACGTCCACACACTCCGAACGCTGCGACCTCGGCATGTTCAGTACGTCCACACACTCCGAACGCTGCGACCACGGCATGTTCAGTACGTCCACACACTCCGAGCGCTGCGACCTCGGCATGTTCAGTACGTCCACACACTCCGAACGCTGCGACCACGGCATGTTCAGTACGTCCACACACTCCGATCGCTGCAACCACGGCATGTTCAGTACGTCCACACACTCCGAACGCTGCGACCACGGCATGTTCAGTACGTCCACACACTCCGAACGCTGCGACCTCGGCATGTTCAGTACGTCCACACACTCCGAACGCTGCGACCTCGGCATGTTCAGTACGTCCACACACTCCGAACGCTGCGACCACGGCATGTTCAGTACGTCCACACACTCCGAACGCTGCGACCTCGCCATGTTCAGTACGTCCACACACTCCGAACGCTGCGACCTCGGCATGTTCAGTACGTCCACACACTCCGAGCGCTGCGACCACGGCATGTTCAGTACGTCCACACACTCCGAACGCTGCAACCACGGCATGTTCAGTACGTCCACACACTCCGAACGCTGCAACCACGGCATGTTCAGTACGTCCACACACTCCGAACGCTGCGACCTCGGCATGTTCAGTACGTCCACACACTCCGAATGCTGCGACCTCGGCATGTTCAGTACGTCCACACACTCCGAACGCTGCAACCACGGCATGTTCAGTACGTCCACACACTCCGAACGCTGCGACCTCGGCATGTTCAGTACGTCCACACACTCCGAACGCTGCGACCTCGGCATGTTCAGTACGTCCACACACTCCGAACGCTGCGACCTCGGCATGTTCAGTACGTCCACACACTCCGAACGCTGCGACCACGGCATGTTCAGTACGTCCACACACTCCGAACGCTGCAACCTCGGCATGTTCAGTACGTCCACACACTCCGAACACTGCGACCTCGGCATGTTCAGTACGTCCACACACTCCGAACGCTGCGACCACGGCATGTTCAGTACGTCCACACACTCCGAACGCTGCGACCTCGGCATGTTCAGTACGTCCACACACTCCGAACGCTGCGACCTCGGCATGTTCAGTACGTCCACACACTCCGAACGCTGCGACCTCGGCATGTTCAGTACGTCCACACACTCCGAACGCTGCGACCTCGGCATGTTCAGTACGTCCACACACTCCGAACGCTGCGACCACGGCATGTTCAGTACGTCCACACACTCCGAACGCTGCGACCACGGCATGTTCAGTAAGCCTTTCACAGTCTGTTGTTCCACGAGAATCTCTTACATTCTTTATACTCCAGAATAAAAGATCTGGGGCCGTATTCACAAAGAATTTTAAGGCTAAAAGTAGCTCCTAACTGGCGAATTTAGGAGCAACTCCTAAAAATAATGGGCGTGTCACTCCTAACTTTAGGACTCCTAATTTTTTTCACTAAGAGTAATTCACGAAGCATTTTAGCCCTAAAAGTAGCAGCTAAGTCTGGGACAGCTTAAAAGAAGTCTAGAGGACTCCTAACTCACTAAGACCGATTCACAAAGGATTGTAGCGCACACCAGCGCCTCTCGCAGTCGTCCGGGGTCCGCGACACAAGCGGGAACGCTGCATTGATCTGCAGACAAATCCTCTCCCATTCTCACGCTTAGTTTTGCGTGATATCCCAGTGCCGAATTTCCCTTTTATTATGTTTTTTTTTTTTTTCAGCACCAGCTGGGCCAGCAGCAGTAACTGATCCTGCATCCAGTTGGCCTTTCTTTTCCATTTTGGCGTGTCCATAATCCACCGTCATTCAACTATTACATTACTTCAATAGGAGCAACATTTCCTTGCTTTAAGTAGTCTATTTAGGCTAATATGATGTCAATTAACCAAGCAAGTGTTAATGCAAGTGTCGTTTTTCATTATTAGGCAAGTGGCGGTTTTCATTGGGGTATTAAGCTACCTTGATTTAATTTAATTGAATTCACGACTTTTCTCTCTCTCTCTGCCTTTTTAGAATTACACTTCACTGGAGCCTGCACAAACATATCATTATATATGCATTTCGATGACATTACTATTATTATTTTGTGTAGGACACAGACATATTTAGATGTGGTAATTCCATGATTTGTTGCGTCTGTGTTATGCTCCGCATGATGGCCCTGTCATCTAACAACCAATCACCGTGATCACTGCGAGGAAGCTCGTGCATGAGAAGTGACGTCATCCATAGCAACGAAGACTCACTCTTAGTTTAGGAGTTGTCATTTTTCCTTACTAAGAGTCGGCCTGAAAGGCGCTGTGAATAACTTTTAAGAGAAAACTCCTAGCTAAAATATTTTAGTGCGATTTAGGAGTACTCCTAGTGGTAAGATAAAATTCTTCGTGAATACGGCCCCTGAAGAACTGTAATGAAACATCAAGAGCAAATACAGTCCTAAACATGTGTGAAAACTCTTTCTCAAAACACAATATTTGATCGGACCAAAACTTTGTTTACACACATTTAAAATGCTAGATAATAATAAAAACGTTTGGATGCCACACACATGCACCAAAGTAGCAAACTACAGTCTGGGATGTTTCATAATGCTTCATAATAGTAGTGGACATACTAATTACAGGATTCAATAAATAGTACGCTAAGTAAAGTTAGTTGTAAAGTTCAAATATCAAGTAAAAAAAAAAAAAAAATCTCAAAGAATAATGCCGATTTAAAAAAACAATTGAAGAATAATAAGTGTTTTTCTCACCCTTGAATAAATCCGTACAAAAATAAAAAAATACAAAATAAAAGCAATGTATGTCAATAATGATGTCATGTGATAAGTCAAATATCAAGTTTAAACACACACACACACACACACACACACACACATATATATATTTATATAATAAAAAAATTAAAGTGTTTTTCCCACCCTTGAATAAATCTGTACAAACATTTTAAATGCAAAATATAAACAATGCATGTCAATAATGATGTCATGTGATAACAATGTCAAATATCAAGTTTAAAAAACCATATATTTATATAATGGCAATTTTAAACACTATTTTTCTCACCTTTGAACGGGTCTGTAATATGTACAAAAATTAAACATGCAAAATCATTTATATATATATATATATATATATGATCATAATATATTGTATTTTGAACACAAATCCTAAAGTGACATTAAACCCCAGTTGTAAGTGTTGTTCTCCATCTTGAACGGGTCTGCACTTTGTTTGTATAATTTGGGTTTTTAAGTTTTATTTATTTAATTTTTTTAACTATGTCACCGACCAGCAATGGCCTACATTCGTGTCAGCTTCCTGTGTGTAATCATCACGATATGACATGACACATTTAAAAAAGAGTAATTATCATCATTATCGCTGTGATGACTCTCGTTTCCACCGCCTCCGTGATTCTGGCGATATTCGAGACAGAAATGCAGAAACTCAAACATGCTGCGCTCATCATATCTCCTCACATCAGACGAGCTGAAACTCTAAAGCTTCTCGAGATCAAACGCCAGAGTTCGTCCACGACTTACAGCGACTGAAGTGCGGCGTGAGACAACCATTCAGATTGTTGTATTATTTATATTCGCTATGTTGTTTATTGTTTTTTCTATGTACTGTCATGAAAATAATAATAATAAGTTAATAAAAACATATTAAACATATAAAGACACAATAAAAATATACAAAACTATATATATAAAAAAATACCTCTCTTTTGATATATATATATATATATATAATATATTGATACATGTATAATTTTTTGGTATATTTTTATAATGTGTTTGCAAATTATTTTGAATAAATATGATAATGCTTAATAATTTCCTTAATATTTTATATATATATATATATATATATATATATACAGGTATATATATATATATATATATACAGGTATATATATATATATATATATAATATTAAGGGAATAAATAAGAATTATTATCTTTATTCAAAATACCTTTTGATTTTGGAGTAAAATGTATGGAAACCCATTTTCACCATATAAAAAAAAACATGCTTTGGTAAATCATAAGTATGACATAAAAAGTCAGAATTATGACAGAAAAAGTTGAAACTATGAGATACTAGGTTGAATCTGTGACATAAAAAGTCAGAAATATGACATAATTATGAAATTTTCTAATTTTTAACTTTTAAGTCAACTTTTTATGTCCTAATTATTTTAATCTGGATTAAAACATGTCAGCCCAGAAATGATATCTGGTTGAAAATGTTCTGATTCTTTATTATTATTATTTATTACTGTTCTTTTGCACTTTGGTTTACTTTATACATTTTGTTGTATGTTGTTTTGTTGCGTTTACATGATCTTTTTGCTATCAAAAAAAGTCATTAAACCTGTTATCAAGAAAGTTCTCTGTATCTTTTCCACCTGTTTTTGTGATGTAATTCCTGACGTTGATCTGAGCGTGTGTGTGTGTGTGTGTCTCAGGTCAGACTGACGCTCATGTGATGGATGATATGCCTCATTACGACTCAGTGGTTCAGCTGAGGAAAGTGTCGAACCTGCTCAGTCCGATTCACACACAGAAACACAACGGATCCGTGAACTCGTATCATTTAGACGGCGTTCAGGACGACATGTCTCCGGTCTGCTGGTCTCCGGGAGAACACGACTCACCTGAGGGAAAAGGTACACTAGCATCACCTGCAGTTCATGTGATACAGGGTTCATACAACGAGCTTAAAGGGATAGTTCACCCAAAAATGAAAATTAGCCCATGATTTACTCACCCTCAAGTCATAATAGGTGTATACGACATTCTTCTTTCAAACGAATTCATGGATCTTTCAAGCTTTATAATGGCAGTGAATGGCTGTTTCTGTTTTGAAGTCCATAAAAGTGCATCTATCCATCATAAAAGTGCATCTATCCATCATAAAAATGCAACTGTCCATCATAAAAGTGTATCTATCCATCATAAAATTGCATCTATCCATCATAAATGTGCATCTATCCATCATAAAAGTGCATCTACTCATGATAAAAGTGCATCTATCCATCACAAAAGTGCATCTGTCCATCATTAAAGTGCATCTATTCATGATAAAAGTGCATCTGTCCATCATAAAAGTGCATCTATCCATCATAAAAGTGCATCTGTCCATCATAAAAGTGCATCTATCCATCATAAAAGTGCATCTGACCATCATAAAAGTGCATCTATCCATGATAAAAGTGCATCTATCCATCATAAAAGTGCATCTATCCATCATAAAAGTGCATCTATCCATCATAAGTGCATCTGTCCATCATAAAAGTGTATCTATCCATCATAAAAGTGCATCTATCCATCATAAATGTGCATCTATCCGTCATAAAAGTGCATCTACTCATGATAAAAGTGCATCTATCCATCACAAAAGTGCATCTATCCATCATTAAAGTGCATCTATCCATCACAAAAGTGCATCTGTCCATCATTAAAGTGCATCTATTCATGATAAAAGTGCATCTGTCCATCATAAAAGTGCATCTATCCATCATAAAAGTGCATCTGTCCATCATAAAAGTGCATCTATCCATCATAAAAGTGCATCTATCCATCATAAAAGTGCATCTACTCATGATAAAAGTGCATCTATCCATCACAAAAGTGCATCTGACCATCATAAAAGTGCATCTATCCATGATAAAAGTGCATCTATCCATCATAAAAGTGCATCTATCCATCATAAAAGAGCATCTATCCATCATAAATGTGCATCTATCCGTCATAAAAGTGCATCTACTCATGATAAAAGTGCATCTATCCATCACAAAAGTGCATCTATCCATCATTAAAGTGCATCTATTCATGATAAAAGTGCATCTATCCATCATAAAAGTGCATCTATCCATCATAAAAGTGCATCTATCCATCATTAAAGTGCATCTATTCATGATAAAAGTGCATCTATCCATCATAAAAGTGCATCTATCCATCATAAAAGTGCATCTAACCATCATTAAAGTGCATCTATTCATGATAAAAGTGCATCTATCCATCATAAAAGTGCATCTATCCATCATAAAAGTGCATCTATCCATCATAAAAGTGCATCTGTCATCATAAAAGTGTATCTATCCATCATAAAAGTGCATCTATTCATGATAAAAGTGCATCTATCCATCATAAATGTGCATCTATCCATCATAAAAGTTTATCTACTCATGATAAAAGTGCATCTGTCCATCATAAAAGTGTATCTATCCATCATAAAAGTGCATCTATCCATCATAAAAGTGCATCTGTCCATCATAAAAGTGTATCTATCCATCATAAAAGTGCATCTATTCATGATAAAAGTGCATCTATCCATCATAAAAGTGCATCTATCCATCATAAAAGTGCATCTATCCATCATAAAAGTGTATCTATCCATCATTAAAGTGCATCTATTCATCATAAAAGTGCATCTGTCCATCATAAAAGTGCATCTATCCATTATTAAAGTGCATCTGTCCATCATAAACGTGCATCTATCCATCATAAAAGTGCATCTATCCATGATAAAAGTGCATCTATCCATCATAAAAGTGCATCTATCCATGATAAAAGTGCATCTATCCATTATTAAAGTGCATCTGTCCATTATAAACGTGCATCTATCCATCATAAAAGTGCATCTGTCCATCATAAAAGTTCATCTATCCATCATAAAATTGCATCTGTCCATCATAAAAGTGCATCTATCCATCATAAAAGTGCATCTGTCCATCATAAAAGTGCATCTGTCCATCATAAAAGTGCATCTCTCCATCATAAAAGTGCATCTATCCATCATAAAAGTGCATCTGTCCATCATAAAAGTGCATCTGTTCATCATAAAATGCATCTATCCATTATTAAAGTGCATCTGTCCATGATAAAAGTACATCTATCCATGATAAAAGTGCATCTATCCATCATAAAAGTGCATCTATCCATGATAAAAGTGCATCTATCCATCATAAAAGTGCATCTATCCATCATAAAAGTGCATCTATCCATGATAAAAGTGCATCTATCCATCATAAAAGTGCATCAGTCCATCATAAAAGTGCATCTATCCATCATAAAAGTGCATCTGTCCATGATAAAAGTGCATCTATCCATGATAAAAGAAAGTGCATCTGTCCAGCATAAAAGTGCATCTATCCATAATAAAAGTGCATCTGTCCAGCATAAAAGTGCATCTATCCATCATAACAGTGCATCTATCCATCATAAAAGTGCATCTATCCATGATAAAAGTGCATCTATCCATCATAACAGTGCATCTATCCATCTTAAAACTGCATCAGTCAATCATAAAAGTGCATCTATCCATCATAAAAGTGCATCTATCCATGATAAAAGTGCATCTGTCCATCATAAGTGCATCTGTCCATGATAAAAGTGCATCTATCCATCATTAAAGTGCATCTATCCATGATAAAAGTGCATCTGTCCGTCATAAAAGTGCATCTATCCATCATAAAAGTGCATCAGTCCATCATAAAAGTGCATCTATCCATCATAAAAGTGCATCTGTCCATGATAAAAGTGCATCTATCCATGATAAAAGAAAGTGCATCTGTCCAGCATAAAAGTGCATCTATCCATAATAAAAGTGCATCTGTCCAGCATAAAAGTGCATCTATCCATCATAACAGTGCATCTATCCATCATAAAAGTGCATCTATCCATGATAAAAGTGCATCTATCCATCATAACAGTGCATCTATCCATCTTAAAACTGCATCAGTCAATCATAAAAGTGCATCTATCCATTTACATTTACATTTACATTTATTCATTTAGCAGACGCTTTTATCCAAAGCGACTTACAAATGAGAACAATAGAAGCAGTTAAACTAGCAGTAGGACAACAATACGTAAGTGCTATAACCCCTCTCAGTTTAATTTTAGTGCAGGTTTTTTTTTTTTTTTTTTTTTTTATAGAATAGAAGAGAAGAGAAAGTGTTAATTCTACTGAATCAAGTGCTGCCGAAAAAGATATGTCTTCAGCAGTTTCTTGAAAGTGGCTACTGACTCAGAAGCTCTGGTTGAGTTAGGCAGATCATTCCACCAACAGGGAACAGTCATGGTAAAGGTCCGAGAGAGAGATTTTGTGCCTCTTTGAGATGGTACCACAAGACGACATTCGCTAGCAGAGCGCAGGTTTCTGGATGGCACATAAGTCTGAAGTAGTGAGTTTAGGTAAGAGGGAGCAGTGCCAGTGGTTGTTCTGTAGGCAAATGTCAGTGCCTTGAATTTAATGCGAGCGGCAACTGGCAACCAGTGCAATTGTGTGAGGAGAGGAGTGACGTGTGCTCTCTTCGGCTCATTGAAGACTACTCTGGCTGCAGCATTCTGGATCAATTGTAGAGGTTTGACAGAGCAAGCTGGAAGACCAGCCAGGAGAGCATTACAATAGTCCAGTCTGGATAAAACAAGTGCTTGGACAAGGAGTTGTGTGGCATGCTCTGTAAGGAAGGGCCTGATCCTCCTAATGTTGTGCAAGGCAAATCTGCAGGACCGGGCAGTTCTAGCAATGTGGTCTGTGAATTTCAACTGATCATCAATTACAACCCCAAGGTTCTTAGCTGACCTTGATGGAGTTATGGATGACGAGCCTAGCTGAATGGAGAAGTTGTGATGAAGTGTTGGGTTGGCCGGGACCACAAGTAGCTCTGTCTTCGCAAGGTTTAGTTGAAGGTGGTGGTCCTTCATCCAGCCAGAAATGTCTGTCAGGCAGGCTGAGATACGAGCAGCTACCGTCGGATCGTCAGGCTGGAATGAGAGGTAGAGTTGCGTGTCATCAGCGTAGCAATGATAGGAAAAGCCATGTTTCTGAATCACAGATCCTAGTGATGTCATGTAGATGGAGAAGAGGAGTGGTCCAAGCACTGAGCCCTGAGGCACCCCAGTAGCTAGATGTTGGGTCTTAGATGCCACACCTCTCCACGACACCCTAAAGGACCTACCTGAGAGGTAAGACTCGAACCATTGGAGTGCAGTTCCCGAGATGCCCTTCATCTTTAGGATTGACAGGAGGATCTGGTGGTTAACTGTGTCAAAAGCAGCAGACAGATCCAGCAGGATGAGGACTGAGGATTTGGAAGCTGCTCTTGCCAGTCTCAGAGCTTCAATTACTGAGAGCAGGGCAGTCTCAGTTGAGTGTCCACTTTTGAAACCAGACTGATTGTCGTCCAAGAGCTTGTTCTGTGTAAGAAAGGAGGAGATCTGGTTGAAAACAACTCGTTCAAGTGTTTTCGCGACAAATGGAAGAAGAGATACCGGTCTGTAACTTGTTAGATGTGCTGGATTTAGATTGGGTTTCTTAAGCAGTGGGGTTACTCGAGCCTGCTTAAAAGCTGTGGGAAAGGTACCAGTGTGAAGAGAGGTGTTTATGATGTGCGTGAGTGTGGGTACAACTGAGGAAGAAATGGCTTGAAGTAGATTAGTGGGGATAGGATCAAGCGGACAGGTAGTAGGGCGATTGGAAAGGAGGAGTTTAGAGACTTCCGCCTCTGAAAGTAGAGAGAAGGAGGGTAGAATGTGTGCGTTTGTTGGTAAAATGTGTGTGTCAGTTTGTGGATTGGTAAATTGGCCACTGATGGTGGTTGTTTTTTCTATGAAGAATGTGGCAAAATCGTCAGCTGTTAGGGTTGATGAAGGAGGAGGA